GGGGCGAGTGTGCAAAAGCCGGGGGCGAGCGTGCAAAGAGAGGGGGCGCCGAGTGTGCAAGGAGGAGGGGTGAGTGTGCAAGGCTGGCAGTGAGCGTGCACGTCTCTGGGGCTGACAGGGAGCGTGTGAGGCTGGGGGTGAGTGTGCAAGGTTAAGGGGGGGGGTGAGAGTGAGTGTGCAAGGCTCTGGGGTGAGTGTGCAAAGCTCGGGGTGGCAGTGAGCGTGCACATCTCTGGGGCTGATAGGGAGCGTGTGAGGCTGCTGGGGAGCGTGCAAGGCTCCAGGGGTGACAGTGAGTGTGCAAGGCTGGGGGGTGAGTGTGCACATCTCTGGGGCTGACAGTGAGTGTGTGAGGCTGCCGGTGAATGTGCAAGGCTCCAGGGGTGACAGTGAGTGTTCAAGGCTGGGGGCTGAGTGTGCAAGGCTAGCAGTGAGCGTGCACATCTCTGGGGCTGACAGTGAGCGTGCAAGGCTCTGGAGGTGACAGGGAGTGTGCAGGGCTCTCAGGGAGCGTGCAAGGCTCTGGGGGGGTGAGGGTGAGCGTGCACAGCTCGGGGCTGAGTGTGCACGGCTGGCAGTCAGTGTGCAAGGCTCTAAGGGTGAGTGTGCAGGGCTTTGGGGGTGACTGAGTGTGCACAGCTTGGGGGGTGAGTGTGCATGGCTGGCGACGAGCGTGCAAGGCTCTAGGGGAGGCAGGGAGCGTGCAAGGCTCTGGAGACGAGTGTGCCGGGCTTGGGGGAGCGAGCGTGCACAGCTGCAGCGTGCATGGCTTCGCAGGTGAGTGTGCACGACCGGAGGCGGGAGGCTGAGCGTGCACGGCGGTGGGGCTGAGCGTGAGCGTGCAAGGCCCAGGGTGGGGGAGGACAGAGCATGGCTCAGGGGTGAGTGTGAGCGCGCATGGCCCAGAGCAAGCGTGTGTGGCCTGGGGGTGAGTGTGCAAGGCTCTGGGGGTGAGCGTGCAAGACTCCGGGGTGAGCGGAAGCGTGCAGGACCCAGGGGGAGCATGAGAGTGCAAGGCCACGGGTGAGCGTGCAAGGCTTCGGGGGTGAGCGTGCAAGGCTCTGGGGGTGAGCGTGCGAGACCCAGGGGTGAGCGTGCGAGACCCAGGGTGAGTGTGCAAGACCCAGGGTGAGCGTGCAAGGCCACAGGTGAGCGTGCAAGGCTCTGGGGGTGAGCGTGCGAGACCCAGGGTGAGTGTGCAAGACCCAGGGGTGAGTGTGTAAGACCCAGGGTGAGCGTGCAAGGCCAAGGGTGTGCGTGCAAGGCCCAGCCTG